TCGTGAATGACGCTCCCGGGATGTCTTTCGGCGACGGAGCGACGGTAAGTATTAACCTTTAGTCATGATCTTTTCTGTCTAAACTGTTTTAAGAACTTTCATTATTTTTTACAGTACTGTATACCTTCACACATACACACACCCAATTTCTCTCTCTTCGGTACAGTACCGTATGTAGTTACTTTTGTAATGACTGTATTATAGGCCTATTATTATGTACCATATTGTATTTATTACGTTTTGTGTATTTGGAAGTGTTTAAGTATTTCATAGGTATAGGTGTTTTATATGTATAGGTAAAATATGTACCGTATACTATGCATTTGACTAACTGACGCAAAATAGCAACCATATGTATCTGTTCCGACTTGGCTACAAATTCGACTTGAAGACGGACCTAGGAACGTTCGTAACCCGGCACCTGCCTTGTACTATACGAAAGGAAGCTCACTTGTAGAGCTACATGTTGTTGTATTTATTTAGCCTGCGAGCATATGCTGCTCCAAGCAGGGGCCTGTATCGTCAAGCAGGGGCCTGTATCGTCAAGCAGGGGCCTGTATCATCAAGCAGGATTTGTGGGTGTCTGGAATATAAGTAGGTGAACAAAGAGAAAATCCATGTAAATTGGGGTACCTTAAATCCAACAGATTATACGGCTAAGCAATAAAAACGGTTTCGTGCCGAAACTCTCCCAGCCTTTCGCGTGCACGCGCATTCTCAGTACCGCGCCGCAGTTAATTCACAAGGTCTGAAACGAACGGTTTCAACTAAACCTGAGGTTTGTAAAGGCAATTACCTATGTCTGTCACACCATTTTATTATCTTCATGTAAACGTCCGTGTTATTGCTTGGTCAGCCCTAAGCAAAATTGAAGTTAATCCGACAAACAAAAGATACTTTAATATAACTGCTCTCGAATATTCACACTCCTGACACTCAAATTTATGACGAGTGAATATTTTTTCATCTATTACATGATTTTATTTCACCAACCAGTGGTTCAACACAACATGTTTTATACGCAGTTACACAAGTACAGGATGGCATTGAATCGTAATTTTCCTCCCTGCCAGTACACCCCCCTCCCCTTATCTCTGGATTGGAAGGTCAGGCTGACTTCAGATTTCTACTGACATCCACTGACTCCTACATTATACCCTAGACATTACAAGTGTGTAGCTCTCAGTCCATGTTAGCGAAATAAATGCTGTTAAAACACCGCGGTACTGAGAATGCACGTGCACGCGATAGTGGGGTGAGGCTTTCGACACAACCAGCTGGGTTAACTTCAGCTTAAAGTCATGATTTTCCGATATAAATGCCCATTTTCTAAACAGTTATCGGACGATCACCACTCCTAGCTGAATGTAACCCAACTGACTGAGAAATAAATGGTGGAGCTCCCCCGCTCGTCTATCAGTAAGGAATAACTCTAGATGGCACACGTGAGCCGCAGTCATTTCTTTACAAAACACGAACGCAGTTCCAGCCAATCACATGGTAGTGTTTTAAGGACGGACAACCTACGGACAGCGTGATTGGTTGAATTTCCGAAGCACGCACGCTTCTGTTTTGGAAGAAATGAGCGCTGCTTCAGAGGAAGCCTCCCTTACTGGTGAAAACGTATGCAGCTCAGAATTCGAAGCATCCTTTATTTAGGACGTGGATAAGCAAGGTAAAAAGACGTCGGTATTGTGGTGATACTTTTTGCAGTTTAAAGTCGGACAGGCAACAAGCTGCTGCCGTGTACTTTAAACTCTGTCGAAAACTTGCGAACTACAACTCAACTGGGAATTCTACGAACTTCTTTCACTCCTTGAAGCATCGCCATGCAGAACATACAGAATGCAAGTGCTTACAGCCCCGATCATGGAAGATTTTAAAAAGATTTATGTGAAAAGCGTAACGTGGCTTAATGTTCCAAAACAGCGACTATTAATCTGTCGGACATATTTGGTCATAAATAGGCCCGTCTAGCAAAAAAAAAAAATCAAAACCGAGTATGGACGTTATCTCATATTTTAAGGAAAAAGCTTAACGTTAATAAATGTTCCAAAACA